AATGGAGGCTCTATTAAGAGGTCGGGGGGACATGGGGGCAGTGGTGTGTAGAATGGCAGTCAGTCATCAGGAGAAGAAATTTAGCTTGCCATGTGGCCTCCACTGGGGTCAACCAGCATGGAGCGGGACGATGCAGGCAGCATGGTTTAGTGCCCTTTCCCAGAAAAACTCAGCCACCTGGTTCTATGAGCAGAGGACTAAAAAGGACTAGAAAGTGTGGGGCTGCCTGCCTGAGGTTACAGGTCCCTTGGAGACAGCAAGAGCATAGTGGGAATAGCCTCCCAGGGCGTTCAGGCTGAGCTGGGATGGATGGACGGGGATGGAGTCCAAAGGGACTAGAAGATTGGTGAGCCTCATTTTCCAAATTCTAAATAAAATTGTATACAGCCATTGCTAATAGTATTTAATGTAGGCAAGTGGCAAACACTCACTAATGTCAAGGACTATTCTAAGTCTAATATGCATCTTGCTTATTCAACTCTATGTCATAACCTTCATGCTGTTTGTGTTATTTAGTTCAATGGTTTGATATTTTATCTTGTGTATAATCTCTAATGTGGATTTATTTATTGATTTTTAAGACAATGTCTCCCTCTGTTGCCCAGGCTGGAGTGCAGTGGTTTGATCAGAGCTCACTGCAGCCTTGAATTCCTGGGCTCAAGTGATTTCCCTGCCTTAGCTCCCCAGTAACTATGACTCTAGGCGTGCCCCACCACGCCTGACTACGTGTTCATAATTGAAAATTTGTTTAAAAAAAACTTTTTTTTTACTATTATAGATAATATCCAAAGTTTTTTTTAAAAAAAGAATGGGGCCGGGTGCGGTGGCTCAAGCCTGTAATTCCAGCACTTTGGGAGGCCGAGGCGGGTGGATCACAAGGTCAAGAGATCGAGACCATCCTGGTCAACATAGTGAAACCCCGTCTCTACTAAAAATACAAAAAATTAGCTGGGCATGGTGGCACGTGCCTGTAATCCCAGCTACTCAGGAGGCTGAGGCAGGAGAATTGCCTGAACCCAGGAGGCGGAGGTTGCGGTGAGCCGAGATCGCGCCATTGCACTCCAGCCTGGGCAACAAGAGCAAAACTCCGCCTCAAAAAAAAAAAAAAAAAAAGAATGACGTGCCTAAGTGCTTCACTTTCATTATCCCAGTTGTCCATACAACACCCCTCTGAGACAAGAACTGTCACCTCTGATTGACAGATTCAAAAGGACACTGTGTTAGGAAGGTTAAATTTGCCCAAAGACCCCCAGCTTGTGAATCTTCACCTTGCGCCCCTATGCGAAGTGTTGGGGAAAGAAAATAACTTTTATTTGATGTGGTGGTGGGTGACTGTGATCCAGCCTCTTGGGAGGCTGAGGCCTGAGAATTGCTTGAACCCAGGAGGCAGAGGTTGCAGCGAGCTGAGATCGCACCGCTGAACTCCAGCCTGGGCAACCGAGAGAGACTCTGTCTCAAAAAAATAAAAAATAAAAATAAATAAAATAAAAATAACTTTTATCTGAGGAATGTTAAGACCTTTCAATTATCAGGCCCAAAGAGACATTAACATGAGACACAATCGCACCCTACACCTTTAAGCTATGTGTTCCTCCCTTGAAACTGAGTGCTATTGCTACAAGTACCTGTAAATTGTCCTAATAATGCGACACCAGACACTACAGCCAATCACTAATCAATGTTATTTTTGAAAACCAATGAGAATTCCTGACAACTTTGTATCATTTGAAACTCACTGTCCTCCTTTTTTAACTTTATTTATTTTTTATTTTTTTGAGACCGAGTCTTGCTCTGTCACCCAGGCTGGAGTGCAGTGGCACGATCTGGGCTCACTGCAACCTCCACCTCCCGGGTTCAAGCAATTCTCCTGCCTCAGCCTTCTAGGAGCTAGGACTACAGGGACCCATCACCATGCCCAGCTAATTTTTGTATTTTTAGTAGAGATGGGGTTTCACAATCTTGGCCAGGCTGGTCTTGAACTCCTGACCTCGTGATCCACCTGCCCCAGCCTCCCAAAGTGCTGGGATTACAGACATGAGCCACCTCGTCTGGCCCTTTTTTACTTTTAAAAATGCATTTTGGCCAGGCATGGTGGTTCACGCCTTTAATCTCAGCACTTTGGGAAGCTGGGTGGGGGCAGATCACTTGAGATTAGTAGTTTGAGGCCAGCCTGGCCAACATGGTGAAACCCCATGTCTACTAAAAACACAAAAATTAGCCGGGCATGGTGATGTGTGCCTATAGTCCCAGCTACTCAGGAGGCTGAGGCAGGAGAATCAATCCCCTGAGCCCAGGTGGCAGAGGTTGCAGTGAGCCAAAATTGTGCCACTGCATTCCAGCCTGGGTGATAGCCTCACACACACACACACACACACACACACACACACACACAAACACACGTGCACACACACACACACACACACGCACACACCCCAAAACAAAACAAAACAAAAAACATGTTTTTTTTTTTTGAGACAAGGCCTCACTCTGTCACCCAGACTGGAGGGCAGTGGCATGATCACAGTTCACTGCAGCCTCGACCTCCTGGACTCAAGTGATTCTCCCACTTCAGCTCCCCACGTAGCTGGGACCACAGGTGTGTGCTACCAGGCCTGGCCAACTTTTTCTTTTCTTCCTTTTGAAACAGTCTCACTCTGTCATCCGCCCACGCCGGAGTACAGTGGCACAACCTTGGTTCACTGCAACCTCCGCCTCCCGGGTTCAAGTGATTCTCTTGCCTCGGCCTCCTGAATAGTTGGGATTACAGGCATGCAGCACCATGCCTGGCTAATTTTTGTATTTTTAGTAGAGATGGAGTTTCACCATGTGGCCAGGCTGGTCTTGAACTCCTGGCCTCAAGTGATCTACCCGCCTTGGCCTCCCAAACTGGTGGGATTACAAGTGTGAGCCATTGTACCCACCCTAAAAATCCACTTGTAACTGCTGCTAATTGGGGTGTCTATTCAGAACAATTTGAATCTATTCTTCTGGGTTGCAATCCTTAGTTAGGCCCCAATAAATTCTCTACTCCCATAAAGTTCGCTTCAGTTTCCTCATTTTATGTTTACAGTGCATTCATGAGTCACTTCAGCTTTGTTCCAAACCAGAAGGGGTAGTCCTGATTTGGGAATTTTCTGCTTCCTTTCTATCCTGGCTTGAAGTTGGCAGCATCTCACCCTAGGCCATGGAACAAGGGGTGGGGTCAGTATCTTCCTGGAATTCCCAGAACCATTTGGGACTGCCCGGAACCTCTCAGAGCCTCAAAGGACCTGCTAGGTTTTTGTTTTCTTCTTTTTCTTCTTCTTCTTCTTCTTTTTTTTTTTTTTTTAAAGATGGAGTCTCCCTGTGTTGCCCAGGCTGGTCTGAAAGTCCTCAGCCTCCCAAGTAGTTGGAATTACAGGCATGTGCCACCATACCCAGCATGGACCTGTTAGTTTGAGGCTGTCAGTGACTTCTCCCTGCCCTCCCCTGGGGACTTTTGCTCTTCAACCAGAGAAGCTCTGTGGAGAGCAGGTGGCTACCATCTCTTAGAGAGGGAGGGAGGATGATGAGTGGGAGAACAGTCTTTCAAGAGGCTCCTTAAAGAGGGTGTGACCTGTTCTCTCTGGCAGGACTGGAGACAGAGAGGAAACAGGGAGGGCTGGCAGGACAGGAAATGATTCCTCTGAAGGCGGTGGGGGGTGGCGATATGGAGGGAAGGTGGCTTTATATCCAGGCAGACTAGCTTTAGTCTTTGAAGTCACCAGGGAGGCAGGAGCCGGGGCTGGTGCAGAGAATCAGTCACCAGATTAAGGAAGATCAGAATCCCACCTGCCCTACTAAGCATACAAGGGCTGGATTTAGTGCACATGGAAGGAAGCTAGCAACCCCAGGAAGCTGCACAGAGACAGGAAGGGTTTAGCTTCATTGGGGATGACAGATCTCTAACCTAGGGGAAGATGGGGGACTGTCTTTACTTGAGAGGCTGAGAAGCTCATGTTCCTGTGCTCCAGTGTCCCTGCCAGAAACCAGAAGGGGAGGCCGTGGAGAGCTCTTGAAGGACATGAGGAGAAGTGCAGTCTCAGGGCTGCTGTGAGCGGCCTGCGTCTTCTCACTACTACAGGAGGCTGTGGCTGGGGTGGGTTGTGGGCATCTGGGGCAGAGACCCCAAGGCCCAAAACAGGTAGGCCCAGAAAGAAGTGTTTTTTTCATGCTTCCTGCAAGGGCAGTAGCTTGACAGGCAACAAATTTCTAACAATAATAATGATTTGAATCTGTACACCTTTAAGGCAGGAATGAATTCACCTACTGTCACAGTCCTCAACCCTCCCAGGCCCACACCAGGAGGATTCTTTCATTTAATTAATTAATTAATTAATTAATTTTTGAGGTGGAGTCTTGCTCTGTCACCCAGGCTAGAGTGAAGTGGTGCGATCTTGGCACACAGCAACCTCCACCCACTGGGTTCAAGCAATTCTTCTGCCTCAGCTTCCCAAGTAACTGGGACTATAGGCATGTGCCACCACGCCCAGCTAATTTTTGTATTTTTAGTAGAGTGGGGTTTTGCCATGTTGGCCAGGCTAGTCTCGAACTCCTGACCTTAGGTGATCCACCCATCTGGCCTCCCAGAGTGCTGGGATTTAAAGGTGTGAGCCACTGTGCCCAGCAGGTTCATTCATTTATATGACCTGCTGGCTGCTGCAGGTGTCAGATTTTTAACGTTTGGGACCCCTGGAGTGCCACCTTTGGGGACTCCAGTTTGAGGCAGCAGATGAGACTCCGGCCAGCCCTGGCTCAGCTCTCCTAGAGGCGCTCCACTATAGGGCACACTTCACAGTTCTTCACAGGGAGGGACCTGTGTGCTTAGCATCCGGCACTGCCCATAAACACCGACTATGGCCTCTAGTTATTGTGACAACTGCACATTTCTAAATGCTCCCTACCACCCTTGGCTGAGAGCTACCCAATCCTTTGGTCCTGGGGAAGTGATTTCCACCCCACCAGTCTTTTCTTGGCATAAAAACATTAAAGTCAATGGCATGTGATGTTTATTACAATAGTTTCCACAGGTGGGGAGGAAAAGGGAGGGGCTGTGCTGGGATGAGTGGTCAGTGGGTAGGTGTGAGTAGGACAGCAAGCATGGAGGGTAGGAAGTGGGCTACAAGCCCCTTCCCTATTCTTGACTTCCCCAGCCAAGGGGACCCTTGGGAAGCATTAGCTAATCTTTGGTAAAATATATTCTGAGAGAGAGATGGTGGGGGAAAGCCAGCCATCAGAAGCCTGGTTGGGGAAAAAAGAGAAAGGCTCTGAGCTGGGGGAGTGGGCACGGGGGTCCCACTGCTGCAGTAAATATGGCACCTGGGACCTGGGCACTGCCACTCGGAGACCATTTCATCAGCAGAGACCGGAGAGCTGAGGGCTACAAGAAGCACCCCACCCTCCTGGGCTAGAACCTCGCTGCTGCTGGTAGAGATGGCCAGGCTCCCGCAGCGCCTCTATCCCCACATGGTAGTCTGCAGCCACTGCAGAGAGAGGAGAGGACGCAAATCCCAGGGTGGGACGAGGTGGGGGCAGGATGCTGGCCTGGGGGACAGCAGGGCTGGGCAGGGGTGGGTTGAGGGGGAGGCAGGCGCAATCCTGCAGATTCCTTCCCAACCCTCTCCAAGTACCTGTTCGAGGTTCAGGCAAATATGGCCAGTATTCTTGGGGTCCATGGTTAGAAAGAATGCTGTGTTACAGAGGAAGCGGAGGAGAGGGGCTGAGTGCTGTCAGTGTTTTGAACGAACCATTCCCAACTAGGTAGGATGTTAGAAGGGGCAACACCAGCTGTTCCTGGCTGTTCCCCACATAAATCCCCTAGCCCAGTGGAGATTTGACAGCCACTCACATAGCCTCACCAGGAGCCAGGCCCAGTTCTGAGTGCCTTCCATAGACTAACTGGTTTAACCTGCACCTCGGTCCGATGAGGGCAATACTATTAGTATCCATATTCCAAAGAGGAAGGAACCGAGGCATACAAAGATTAAGTGACTTGCTCAAGTCACAGCTGCCAGCAAGGGGTGGAGCTAGGCTTTGAACCCCTTTCATGTATGCCCTGTAAGCGGGAGGGGCTCTGGAGCAGCATCCCTCAGGGCGGTGTTTGGGAGAGGGCCCATGGCCCCTGGTCCAGCCTAGGGAGTGGGTAGATGCCTAACTCACTGAACATGGCCTTTAGCCTCAGGAAACAGCTGATGAAGTTGTCAAAGTGTATGATCAGATCATCATCTGCATACCTGGCCACCAGGACTTGCATTACCTTGTTGTTCACCTTGATGCCTGAGAGAGAGAGAAGTGGGGAGGGGAAATTCCAGGTCTCTGGACACTGCCATCCTCTTCCCTGCCCCAAGGCTCGCTCCTGACCCCTGGCCACCTGCTTTCTCAATAGCCAAGCGCATCTCATAGGAGTTCAAGGTGCCTGAATGGTCCTGGTCACAGTCTCTGAAGATGTCCTGAATAGAGAGATGTGGTAGGGCCATGTGTATGGCATGGTGGTTGAAATAATAAAGCACTTAGGCCAGGCGCCGTGGCTCACACCTGTAACCCCAGCACTTTGAGAGGCTGAGGTGGGCGGATCTCCTGAGGTCAGGAGTCGAGACCAGCCTGGCCAACACAGTGAAACCCCATCTCTACTAAAAATACAAAAATTAGCCAAGCATGGTGGTGCATGCCTATAATCCCAGCTACTTGGGAGGCTGAGGCAGGAGGATGGCTTGAACCCAGTAGGTGGAGGTTATAGTGAGCAGAGATTACGCCACTGCACTCCAGCCTGGGTAACAGAGCGAGGCTCCGTCTCAAAAAAAGAAAAGAAAAGAAAAGGAATACTTTAGTACAGTTGGCTCATTGGCTCCCAGCATTGGCCTAAGACCCCAGACTCCCCTCCAACCCTGGCCCACTCCTGATATTCCTATCAACTTGTGACCTAAGGGTTAATTCCAAGCATGGGTTGGGGGGGACGCTGATACCCTACCCGGCGCTCTCTGCATGCATCCTTCATGACTAGCTGATACTTGGGCTCTACTTGTTATGAAATATTTTGACTGGGTAATATGCCAGACTCCAACAGGCTCTTTTCATGTTTGTGTGTGGTGTGGTTTGTGTGTGTGTGAACAGGTGTGTGTGGTGTGGTTGTGTGTGAGCATATGCCTGTGTGGTGTGGTAGTGTGTGTATGTGAGCTTGTGTGTGTGTGGTGTGGTTATGTGTGTGTGAGCATGTGTATGTGTGTGGTGTGGTTGTGTGTGAGCATGTGTGTGTGTAGTGTGGTTGTGTGTGTGAGCATGTGTTTGTGGTGTGGTTGCATGTGAGTGTGTGTGAGCATGTGTATGTGTGTGGTATGGTTGAGTGTGTGTGTGAGCATGTGTGTGTGTAGTGTGGTTGTGTGTGTGTGAGCATGTGTGTTTGTGGTGTGGTTGCATGTGTGTGTGAGCATATGTGTG